ACATGATTTAATTATATACCGCTGACTCGTATTTTGCATGAAACCACACATTGGTAATGAGTTTTTGCTATTTTAAATACGGGTTATGAGTCACCCTAATAACAATCCGATTGTACAGAGAGAGGCAGCAAAACCGACAGCGATAAGCTTCCTTACAGAGAGAAATTCAAAATCAAACTAACAACATTGACAGAGCAGTCTTCGTAATAGCTCTTTAGGACTGACTCGTTCACACTGAAAATCGCTACTGTAAAAAAACCCAAACCAGTCCAATTAGGTCACTTCAATGGTAGTCAATTTATGAGCGCGGACAATTCCAGCATCGATTATGGGTCATCTATTTATTGCTGGTTAACTTGTTCAAAAGCTTAAATTACTCAGGCTCAATTATGGTTAAGACTTCATGGGAGACAGGGCAGCGTGAAGGGAATTCTCAGCTAAGGGATTCCACGGAAAAGGAGGGAGGGTGGCACTTGGTTTCAAGGTATACACTTTCTTCGGTTGAGTTTTCTTGGTTTTCCCGTCCCCTCTCCCTGCTCCCTCGCCCCTTCTACCACTTTTACGGAAAACTGGAGACTTTGTTCGGTGAAAGTGGTAGAATGTTCTCAAAAATTTAGTTTTAAAGAATATGGTTAAGTAGTATGGAGGAATGGGGAGGGGAGGACCGTACCGGGAAAAGACAATTCCTAAGAAGGAGTCGCCTCTTGTGAATTTTTTGACCCAGCGGCGAGACGTGACCTGGAAAGAGCTGGACAGTTCGGAAATCTCCGATTTTGGACCACGTTTAGGCGTTCGAGAAGTTCATGCGATCATCAGAAAGGTGGAAACACTAAAAGCAGTAATGGAAAGTACTCAAAATCACGAAAATAATGATTTCGAAATGCTGGACCACATGATTTTCCAGCTCAACGATATCGAAAATTTTTGAAAACATCACATATCCCTTGAGGTGGTATAGAACATTAGGCTGACAGGAGGTGGGGTCAACTCAGGGCTCAGAAATTCGATGAAAATAACAACAACCCACTTCTTTTCAATGGTTGCACCTCAGCAAGGCCATCTTGGCTGTTCGTCGACGACATCGAGCCTTTGCCATTAGAATAACGTCGTTTAGCCTGAAGGAACTAAGAACATTTATAGAAACATCTAAAACATGTCCGACCACCGTTATTAGCTATTAATACGTTGGCATTCCATTGTGCACTCAATAGATGAGACGAGGCTCATTTCTGGCAGGGGAAAAATGCGGACCAATTGTCATCGTCGACATCTTTTTCTTGCATTTTTTCCGATAATTCCACAACATTAGAATAAAATAGCATTGAAATTCCCGAAGATATTTCATCGTATGCTTCTGATAAACTTGAGCATTTCACGTGTGAACTTGGAGGTTAATATTACCTCCTTGAACTAGGCCTACTAGACCTCTGAACGAAGCTAGTGAGCCACCAGGAAAAGAGAACAATGGCAGGCTTCACTCCGCCCATATGCTCAGCGTCAAATGTACCTTTAGAGATACATAATCCCCAGAACTGGAGGGGAAACAGTTACATTCTCGTTCACTGAGAATATGGGAATGTGCAGGGAGGACAGGTTGGGCGCATTTCCAGCACGTTCTCCACCACTTGTTAACGGCAAAGCGACAAAGCGGGCAAGTGACAGCAACTGGTGGGAGAGCGGCTCGCGTCGCTCCAACCAGGGCACATCATTGGTTGGGGATTTTAGTCGAGTCTGTACGACCCCCTTTTTTGGGTGGGTTGGTAGACCCCCCCCCTCCGGCCCTCTGTTCCTCCTCATCGAATCGAGCCGTCGAGCGGGGGGGCATATAGTACGCATGAAACAGGAAAATCACCAAAAGTCAACCACCACTCCTACAACGCCAAAACGTAAATACGACTCCCCCCCCTCCCAACAACAATTCTTCCTAGCGTTAAAGGCACAGTCCGCGGTAAAAAGCCTAGGTGATTTTGCAGAAATGTGGAAGAAAATTCGCCAAGTGAACCATCTATGAAGAGAAAATGCCAAAAGGGAACGTTGGAAACGCATTCGTCAGGCCTCCTCTAGCTTCTAAAAGGATAAAGTCTTCGCCGTTGATCAATCCCTTTGTGGGATGCGGCACGCATTCTACTTCCATTCAGAATCGTAGTGGCTTATTGAATGCGATGTGGCCTATACAATGACTTGCGGTGGCCAGCCGATGTAGTCAGTGTTTTATCCTCCCAGACGAATCTGGTACCAATTTACCGTCCCCGGAGGGTAGAAGGCTTGGTTGGCCTGGGCGGGACCCGAGCGCGCCACTTGTCACTACACCACCTCCGCCTCATGCTCTTCGCGCGAATTGTGACACCGTCCATAGGATTGGTCTTGAGCTCGAGGTGTCCGGAAAGCGGCCAGAGGACGCCCCAAGCAGCGCTGGTTAGACACGTTGCATGCGGACTCAAAGATAGTTGGCACCTATCCCGAACAAGGCATTTAATCGGGAGAAAGGTGGCACAAAATAAGACGAGCGGACCCCGCTAAATAGGCGGACACCGCTGAGGAGGAAGAAAAAATATTGCATCGCCATGAATTCAGTGTGAGCTCTACTGCGCAATTCGTAAAAATTCCTACAATTTCGTTAAAAAAATAAGGCTCACTAGACTGACTCCTGCATCAGATTTCTTTTGAAATCGAGGTGGGGTGTGCGTCGTTGTCGTTTTGGTAGTCAACGGTGATGACGATACGGTTGCATTCGAATAGAGATGTTGGTTGTTACATCAGGAAAAGAATATTACTCACTTCTCCTATCCGTGTACGAATTTATTAATGAGCTGCAGTACAAGGAGTCCGATTAAAAGAGCGCGCCAAGATAGCAATTTTGGCTAGCTAAGTTGACTTGAGATACTGCAGCGTACTATGGTTGCGATCGATCGGGTGTGGTGAGGAGTGTAAAACGCAGCTGGCATCATCAATTAGTTGGGGGGGTTGGTCTGAGTCCGGTAACGCTCCCCCCCCCATTTTTTGTAGGGGGGGGGGGATATGGTACGACCACCTCTCCCAATTAAAAGTGATATACGAACCCTCTCCCTCCTTACAAAGTCCGCTGGAACAAGAAAATCAACTACCAAAAAATTTCTTCTCAGCCCAAAAACGACACCGCCGTCTCCCAGCGGTCAAGACGACTCCAGCCCTGTTGGGGAATCCCCAACAGCCGTGTGCCTTAGCTAAAATTTTGTAGTCGGCCGGGGGTACTTTACACCGAGGTCAGTTTTTCCCCATGAGGCAGCGTCCAGGCTTCGCGAAGACGCGCATCTACGCGCTACTGTTGCATCGCGTTCCAGTGCTATTAATGGAAAGCAGTCACAGACAGGTATCAATCGGCTCCAGTCGCCTGTCTTGGGAGGGTAGCGGAGAATAGGTTGGAAATAAGGAATTTATGGAAAGCAACTCACGGGATTCGTCAATTCGCTTCTTTTCGCTTTGATCAGCCAGGGAAAATTCGGAAGAAGTGAGCGAGTTCAGTGATTTTGACCGCCGCTTTTGACGTACCAACGCCTAAATGTGTTACAGATAGAAGGCACATCATCGATAATTATTCCTCTACAGGAGTAGGATCGACGTGAGCTGATGAGTTCTCCGATGCTTGATTTTTACCAGGTGAAAAGGATCACCATACAACCCGCCCGCTTATCGTGGAATTTCGAATTATAGTTCCTTAGTTCGATGGCAACGCGTACTGAGGAATGACATAATTGGGAACAAGAGACGTAATGCTATAACCGGAAACTGCTCGGCCTTGGGAACACGCACCATGCGGGTTGGTACGTCCAACAGGTTGCCCTTCAATCCCATCCTTTCCCTCCGCCTAGCAGTGCGCCTGAGTGCACGGGCCACATGTGAGGAGGTTTCCTCCGTTCGATGGATGTGCCCCTAATCCAGCAGATTCAGGAAGATAGGAATAAACCTACAGGGCGGGGGGGAAAAAAGGTCTTTTTCTTCATATGACTTTGCGAGTCGGCTATAAATTACACTTTATTTAATTCTGATCGGAGATTTTTTTTACCACCATATTAAAGAGCATATCAAATACTACCATGACACTCCTCCACAGCCTTCTGGACGAGCGCCATCGAGAGATCTGGGGCAACGGCGAAGACCGCGATGTGGTTGCGCTGAGATCAAGCGAGATAGTCGATTTCTCCGGGCCACCGTGACCACCTATTGAAACTCCGCACGATAACGGGTAATTAGGGGTCTTTAAGGTACTCAACTCCTTCCATTTCAAGTAGGCGAGAGTTTCTCCAATGCCCTTCGATTCCATGTGGTGGCACCCAATGCTGTAGCAGTACAAAGTTTCCAAGAAGGTACGGGCGACGACATGTGAGGAGGATATTCCACTCGAGTTGCTCGATGTAACCGCCAGCGCTCACCTTCAGTCCGGGGCCCACGAAGAAAATATTGGTCTTTCCATTCCAGGTACGTCCGGTCCATACCATCAACCCAGCGTTTTGGCGACTGTGGTGAAGATGATGTCCTAGACGTGCGACGTTGTCGTGCTGTTCGATGTGTGGAGGTCATTCCAGAATCGAGAGTACTGGCCTCTTCATGGTAGCTATCCACTTACTAGAAGTTTCGCAGCTGTTTGGAGGTGACATGAATTCCAAAGGTCTTCTCCAGTCAGGCTGCGACTGGAGATGACTTCATATTTTGGTGTACATGAAGGTGATGGGCGAGGGCCAGCTCCTGCTTATCGAGGAACATCTTGGGTATATCTTCCGCCCTGGTACTCGTATCCACGTCCTCCCCCCCCCCCTTGTCTGGGCAGCGACGAAGTTTGCTGACTGGATTTGACTCGGTCGAAGTGCTTTTTTTCGGCCCCTCCCCATGTACATAAAGTACGTGAACTTCCATTGAGTGAAAACTGAGGAACAAGAACTTTTCCTAAGCAATCGCTCACCGAAAGGGGTTCAACGTCGATTTGATAGAGGTGAGTACGTTCAACGCAGTTGGAGAGATTGCAATCACCATGTAGATAGACCACCTCCTCGCCACACTTTTGTAGTGATATCTTTCCATTCGGGAAGTGATGTGAAAGCATGAGGTTCAACGGTAACCAGGTGAGATTCCTGAAAAAATACTGGTATGGTCATTTCTTTGCAAAAAAGAGTATGTAGTCAAATAAACGTGAAGGTTCGTATTATTGCTTCCGGTATTGGAGAAAGCCGTATCGAAAACCTAAACGGGGAGGCACTGAGAAGAATGTGACTAGTGTCCCGCCCATCTCCTGATAGTGGAACGTGTCCCCAACATTTTTTATGGAAACAACTTTTTTTCCTTACAATTGTGGTTCATTGTTGATTATTCTGCAAGTATATTACTCTTATGTGATAGAAGTGTGAATAATGAGCAAAGGCTGAAGTAGGAAGGGTCTTCTTGAGTGCACCCAGGAGGAAAAGAGATACCGCAGCATGGTATATGATAAACTGGCAACATCAACTCTAGCTTTCTTAGGTTTTTAACCTCTTCCATGGCCAAAAAACTCCCAGAGAAAGGCAAATTTTAACGGCACTCCAGCCTCCTCATTTATTCGACAGAGTAGTAATCCGCTTTGATGAAGCAGTTTTCATTTATAATTTTGCCAAAGTTCGTGACATGAGACTCACGTCAAGTTGAGCAGATAGAAATTCGGTCTGAGATTGCGGACATTCTGATTGGCGTAGATCAACGCGAACTCCTCAAAACATTGCACACCGTCTTACTCATATAATCGTCCGGTGGTGGTGTTCCCTGAGTTCGTCGAAGTTCACATTTTCCACAAGAGGGACCTGAGGTGCAATAAGATTATTTCACTCTTCTGAGTATCTTCAACTAGTATGAAAGTACAGTCTTGTTCGCTTGCGAATGATGGAGTGTGTGTAGGGAGGCTGAATTTGACGGCAGAACATTCTCCGCGTTCTGAAGCGGGCTAAGCGGCAACTCTTGGTGACTGCTACGAACGACATCATACAGTCTTTCCGCATGCTGAAAGGAAAAGGTGGTTCGAGCCCTTTGATACGCCCCACCCGCAGTGAACGAACCTTCGTAGGAGATGCATTGTATACACAAGGAGATGTTTATGATGGAATGAAAAAATGAAACAAAATATTTTGATTAGGTCAAGAGTGGTACAGCATGAAGTCTGCACTGAACTGGATCCTTCCTGTCAGCGAGATTGAACTGGATTGTAAACAATAAGAAATTATACTGGATTCCGGAATCTCACCTTTCAGTTCTGTAGTACCCGCCGAATCCTCCCTTGCAGAGACGGAAAGACGGGATTCGGAAACGTCTAGGGGTACGGACTTATCGACTTGAGTAGAGGGGAGACTATTTAGGTAGGAGTGTGGGTCTTGAAACACTGCTTGCCACCACTGCTTGATAATTTGGTGAGTGAGAACATTACTACCGAACTGCACTGTAAGGTCTTGTTCGTTGTGGATGCTGGAGCGCGTCAGAAGAATGGTTTGGGAGCTGGTAAGCGACCGCAATCAATGGAGAACGGGCTGGCACCGCGCCAAAACCTGCTCCCATCCCTGAAACACAGCATCTGTAATAGAACAACCTATTAGTGGCGCTGGAGTAACAAAACAAAACTCCAAAGAGCAAAATACAAGTAAGCATACCAGTGGAGGGACCAGCATAAATCTGGAGTAGATCGTGGGGGGGCCCCCCCATAGAAAAGATACAAATGATTGCGTGATATAAATGGACTCGCGAATGTCGCTGAAAGAGATTTCATTTCAGTTTTCTCCCATTATAGACAACCTGAACACTCACTTCCCATGATCCTGCTCTTGTATTTGAACGATAGGTCCGTAGTTGCAGTAGCCTGCCACTTTCTCGGTTCAAAAATGCAAAACGACAGAGCTGGAGGGTGATGATACCCGGATTGCTCCTCCCGACTCTGTTCTCTGTTGTCGAATCGACGGCTCAACCTTCGGACCACCTAGCCAACCGCACTACTTGTCTGCGCTATGCTGTCACTACAGTGGTTGTTCCCGACCTCTCCTGCATGTCCGCTGCGGGACTTCGGTGCCCACACGACTAAAGCTTGCACCGTTTGAGGCAGCGCGGGCGAGTATGGAGACGGCACTTGGGAAGCCAATTAATTTCCAGCTCCCTTCTTCCCCAGCCTTTGAAGCGCCTTTGAAGCGCTTTGAAAAGAGGCTTGACTAGTGAGCTCAGGCCCATTTTACCTCGCAAACGTGGTAAGCGACAGTCCTCGAAGGTGATACACAACTGTTTCTGCAAGGCCACAGAAGACAAAGAGGGCTGCGCGGCTTTGCGAGCATGTTACGTCATGTCCGTCCGTCCGGGCCCTCCAGCTGAGGTAGTATACAAACGATTCCAGTCTCTTCGGACATCCTTTGCGAGGGGACCGGGGAATGGCACGTAATTCTATTCTAGCTGCGAGAAAACGTGACAACACATGATGCTAGAGACCCGCACCGCGTCACATTGCCCTTATCCCTCTTTGTTCTTAACAACCGTACCCATCATATGCTATATGGCGGCTACGTACTTCCCAGTTTTTTCAGGCTCGAACTAATGCCCAAACCAGCCTGCGCATAGATGGCACGACGGAACGGTAATGCTGGCGCTGCGTTAATCGATGGAATGCAATAACTGAAACCGCCGGGTTGGTTGGAAAAATGGCTCAGATAGCGTGCGTCCTACCGTATTGAGCTAAGTCCGGGGGCCAACCATGAAAAAAGTCCGGATGCAATTATTTTCAGACGTGTATCAGGATTGTCTGATACATAAACATACCGACTGCTAACCCTCTGAATACCTGCATATTATTAACTTATCCATGTATCAACCCGTACTATTAATTTGGAAGCGGTGGTTGTGTAGCGCCGAGTGGCTCGCTTACTAAGCGCGCGATCTGCCAGTCGGACAACGGATCGGCTTTCTCCTTTGTCAATAAAGTTTATACTCTAGTGATGGTAAATTGGCACTGGTCTGGGAGGATAATAACTACAACTTGTATATGGGCTGGCACGCAACTCATTGTAAAGGCCACATTTCATTCAGTGAGTCACTGCGACTCTGAATAGCAGTGGAATGCCTGCCGCATTCCGAAAAGGGTTGGTCAATGGCAGAGGCTTCATCCTTCATCCATATATTTACTTATTCAACCCGAGGTATCGCCTGGGTTTCTCTAACCTAACAGAAGGGAATCGGGTGGGAGATGAACTTTGCGGCGCAGACGCCGTTGCAAGGGAAGTCATCCTACTGGTATTCACACTATAATCTAGTGGATTTAACGAACGACGTTGTGTAGTAATATGTCGAATGGGCTGGGAGATAATAGTTTGATAGGCGCTTTCGCTTTGGTCTTAGGCATATTGCTGCCTCTTATCAACCACTGCCAAGGCCTCCTGCGAATGCCTGTGGACTCCTGCAAAGCTATGGAGAAGCAGGAGCTACGCCTACACCTGGCAAGAGCCCACTGTTTTCAACAAGATGGAATGTGCAACAACGAGAACTAGTCGAGAACCAGCGCTAACCGAGGAATGTAGCGAATGCGGAGCTCTCACCCCAAGCCGAACAGCGCCGGCTTTGTGCGCGTAAAGATTTCTCTACCGACACGTCTTTGAAATATTTTCCTCAAAAATCGGTTTTCTTCTACATCAAAGGCTCTTACCATCGAAAATCTCTCTACTTTGCAGTGAAATGGTGTATTTGTCGCCAACCGATGAGCTCAGGAAATTTGACACATGGAAAAGCTCGATGACATTGGCGGTTGTAGATGTTGATTGCCAACGAATGGGATACGATAGAAGGACCACTCCAGCTTCGTCACGAATCAAAACCACATTTTTGCCTTTTCTAAAAAAAGACCCAAAATTCGAAGAGCTTGTTGGGATCCAGGTAAATTCGGAGGGAAACTTACGCGACGGAAATATTCGTTCTATGAACTGCGCTAGTAATCTCGACTACAAACGTATCGCTGTCAATCGTGCCTTCACAGATGAAAAACTCGCCAGTCGCTACTCGTTGAAGGCAAATCAACAGCGAACCCCTTCGACAGAATGCCAGATCGTAGATCTGAAACCGAGCCGATCGTTTTGCAATTTGTTATGGAAAGGAACAGGGTGGGCAGAGGCCCGTTTTTCGGAGAACAGAACAAATTTATTCGCTCTGGACATTTTGGGTGCATTACTTACAGTCTTGTTCGCCGTTTATGGCAGGTGTGTGAAAGGGGAATTGGCTTGGTGCAGCGCTAGCCCGTTTTTCTCTTTTTTTTGGCAAGCGATAACTGTATCACAGCTTTTGTATCATTGCTTATTCCTCCACTGACTGCTGCTGCTTATTCTTCGCTCCAATGACTGGTGGGAAACGGGCTGGCAGCCTGCCAAACCCTAAACCTCTGACGCGCCATCATCGGCAGTGGGTGCAACTACTGATTTCCTCATTCCGGCAATACTCTTAGGAATAATGAGCCAAACAAGGTTGGCTAAAACAGTGCCTATCTGTCCAGGAAGTGTTTCTTATTATTTGTTATCTAGGGTTTCGTACAGAAGTGAATGAATGGCGGGAAGTGACGGCTTTCCTCCCTGATTCGTGGGGCGTGTCATTGCTACTTCTCTGATGGAGCGATCCCACGAAGAACAGGGGAGTCATTGAAGAAGGGGACATCAATCAGGCGTCTGAACCAACAGTCAACGCTTGTTCGCTTAAGCATCTGATGGAGAACGGGCTGACGGCGCCAAGCCCAGCCTTCTGATACGCCCTATCATCCGTAGCCAACACTGACTGTAGAGCGCGTGAAAGGACAGAATTTTCAATAAATACAGTTCATCAGGTCATAATACGAACTGGAGTTTCAAATGACGAAATATAAACCTCCCCATGTGAACCCCCAAGAGTACACGCCAGGAAAGCATGGGGTTTCAAATCCCATCTCAAGTCGAAAATTTTGTCAACTAGGCCAGCATCTCCTCTATGTTTGACTAGTAGTTTTTGCTTCTTCGGAACCGTTCCAGGTTATCTGGTCCCTTGCCTTCGAATTATGGGCTATTTCACCTTACACAAACAATTTTGCGGGCTAGCGATGATAGGTCGCCACGTGAAGACAGTCTTGTTTGCTCATCACCTACAAACTGACTCATGCATCGAACACCCTCGGAACCGCCCACTTCCTCTATTCACTTCAGAGGGGGGGGGGTGTAGAGGAATACAAGGAGCGAAACGCAACAGATTCTCCTCTTGCTTTCTAATTTTTCAAAATTCAGACTGCAAGAGGGATCATGCTACCTGACAGTCTTGATAGAGCGGATCCATTCGCGACAGACACAACGTGTAGGAGGACATCTCGTGCACATCACAGTAATAGAGCTGACTAGCTGATTTTCTGAATACACTTTGTTTTACCGGTAAATGTCCCAATTTTGCAATTAACCCACTTGAAAATCAATTGCCCATTTGGTCCTGCTGCGATGGATTTCCCTGGCGAATCGACTCCCGTCACTGACAAGCAATCCCGCAACGTATGCGGATCCATATCTGAAGTAAGTGACCATTGATTGTAAAAACTTTGACGGATCCACCAAAGGAATGACAAAAATGAGAGAAAGGTGCGAAGCTAGCGGAGTGGAAGTACGAGATGAGTCACAACTACTAGTGGACTTGCAAATGATGTACAGTCCGACTATCGCAAATGGACGGCACTTGTCATCTGTATTTGCATAAAATATTACAAAAAACCCCGAAAGCCTATTAAAAGAGGCGTAATTTTGGGCGGATCGTCATCGCGATAGCGTACAGTCTTTGCGTACAGGACTTTCCGCAGCTATATGCATACCTAGCATTCGCGAAATATTTATTATTTTATTTACTTCCCCATTTATTCATTTATTTCTGCGTACGGTGAAGCGCAAGAAAATCATCAGCCTTCTGTCCGGGATAACTAGCACAAGAGGGTGAATAATCAAGTCATGATAGAGACCATGATACAAGGAAACTAAAGAACAAAAAAAGCAAAGAAAAATGAAATGGAAACATGAAAAGGAAAAATCATTCGTATCAGGACCTAACAGACCAGGGTAGGAAACAATTAAGGGCACGTTCTGGGGGAAACTAGGGCTGTAATCTCCCGAGTGTGTCCGGTAGGCGATTGTAGAGGCTGTGCTACATTCAAAAAGTAGAAATTTGAAAGAATTCCGGTGGTAGCCGAGCAACTAGACTTATGAGCACTCCTTGAGCCCACAGCAACCCCAAGTGGCTGCTAGCTGTTATTTAGAAGCCCCTCTGCTAGCGCTATCCTTTCCGATTGGTGAGGTGAGGTGGTGAGACAAAAACGTTCTTCTCTTTATTGCATGCATTACAAGATAGTATCTGCATGGAATCCTATATGGGGCATTTCGGGCAAGTTTTCCTGCTTTTTTTTCTCCACTAGCCAATTGCATAGCACTTCCTCGTCGCATTTAAGTTCCATTAGTCCATCAGAGTCCATAGTCGCGATCTATGCCTTTACAGGAGCCGTGGAAAGTTTAGGAGAGTCAAGAAGGCTAGAGAGTTTTCGCAGATAGATTTCCTCAGCTCGGAGAATTCTCTGCGAAAAATAGAAAGAAGGGAGACGAAAAATCGTTTATACTAGGACTGCCCATGTGACAGGATGCATCACTCCAAAATAGGCTATTCTCAAAGGGGTGGTAGGAACGCGGTTGTGACAAGCGCCCTCCCTAGTGCCTGCACCAAGCAGCCGTGGTGTTGAACCAGGGTAATAGGATTTTCATTGGCACTTAACTCAGCAGCTACTGTAGCGATAAGAGGACATGGCGTATAAGACGCCTCAAAGGCAAAGCCCGCGATCATTCGCCATCACAGATAGTGGATTAGGGGTTTGCATACAGACGACAAGGTGCTGAGTAACTCGACAGTGAAGAAAAAAAGCAGAAAAAAACATGCCAACTGCCCTAGATAGAACCTCATTCCATCCCAGTTTGTGCGTGCCAATTAACTCTATCTTCAACATTACGCCCTCATCCGCACAGCTGATTCCCCGATATGAACTCTACGACCGTACAAGTGACGATTTCATGCTTTTTCGTCCTGCAGCTTCGTTTTTCCACTGAAAGGAGGGCCTTGAGGCGGAGTCTGGAGGCGGAGTCACTGGAAGGAGGCGTCACTGAACCTATTTTGCGTTATAGCGCCCCTCCCTTACACTTTTTTTGCCGCGAAACCGGTACAGGATTGTTCGTCGCGGACCACATTACCCTCCCAACGCCATATTTCAACATTCTACACCTGATCGCGGACCGAGCCTTTAAAGGCTAGAGGCGCAGTTCGGCGACGGTAGGGGGGGCATTTGGCACTTTCATTGACCATTTAGTTCCGGTTTGCATATGTTTACCTGGTGAAACCTGTGAACTCCTGTAAAGCTGGAGCAAACTTATCGAGCCACCATGGTGTAACCTGTCAACTTACGAAAAGGCTATCTAGATGGACGGCCACGTCGATGGGAAGTGGCAAAATTGCAGAACTTCCCCCCCCCCGTCGCCGAACTGCGCCGGGGCTAGCCCGCGATCACATATGATGGGTAGTCGAACTCACGAAGAAAGGTTACTATGCAATTTAACAAAGAAGAAAAAAGCAGAAAAACCGTCCAAAATGCCCCGTATACGGCTCCTGTCGACGTCATCTTGTGCGTGCACAGAGTGAGGAGAACTCGGGTTTGTGAGAATTCTCACTTGCTGACGTTATGATAATATCAGCTTTTTCCCCTTATCACCTCACTCTCACCATTTCGGGCAAAGCGCGCTGACAGAGGGGATACCAGCTAGTAGCTAGTTGTCACTCAGAGGTTCGCATGGGCCTGAGTGGTGCTCATGGGCCTGAGTGTTCAGCTTTTACCAGAATTCTTGCGAATTTTTACTTTTTGAATGTAGTACCCCTCCACGACCTAGCTGATCACATTTGAGAGCTTATAGCAGTTTATAGGAAAGATGCCCTCAAATAAGGAGCCGGGATAGGAATAAGTTTAGCACTACTGTGTGGTTTAGAGACCGGACACAGCAAAGTAAATAGTGGTTTCTGGTGGTGTCGACGAGGAAATTATACAGCGCACATGAAAAGAAAAATTAGAATTAAAAAAACTTATTTACTATTCACTCAATTAAGAATTAACCACTTACTTAAGAATTATAAAACTTTACACGACACCGGTATGACTACCTTTCCAGTGAACAAATATGACCCCTTAGTGGATTCAGTAAGCGGTAATACATATACGATGGCTCCTTGAGAGAATAAATCAATTACTAGACGTTTTTTCCGATATTACGACATACCGGTTCTGATAACGATCGGGTAAAAATGAATATTACGTAGTTCTGGAGG